GTAGAATAGATAAACAAGATTACACTGTATAGCACAGGGAAAATATACACAAAAATGTTATGATAAATCACAGAGAAAAAAAATGTGACAATGAGTGTGTATATGTCCATGAATGACTGAAAAATTGTGCTGAACACTGGAATTTGACACATTGTAAAATGATTATAAATCAATAAAAAATGTTAAAAAAAAAAAAAAGAACAGGTCTCTCTCCCTGTGCTATGTGGGACTTCACAGGTTACAGGCCCTGGGGGAAACCAAGACACCTTAAGCTGGCACCCATTCTACAGATTAGAAAACTGAGCTCCTGAGAATGCAAAACTTGGCCCTCAGCATCTGCCTCCTGCCTGCCTGCTGTGACAGTGAAGGCCAAGGGTCCCTCAGGCCCTTACCCAAGGCAGGTGGGCAACCCAGAGAAGTGTGTGGGGGTGACGGTGCATGTGCCCAAGAAGCATTTGAATACAAGCATGTGTGTGTACAAGGACTGGCATGCAGATGGACTTCGGAGGTTACTCCACCCGCTGGAAGATACTGTGCTCTGTTACCAAACACCCCTCCCCTAGCACCTAGGTTCTGCAAGTACAAAGGGAAAGTTGAGGCAGGACCACAGGGAGGAAAGGACTTCAGGAGGGAGGGGTCGAGTCAAGAATGTGTCTAAGCAAGAAGGCTGGAGGGATGGGAGGTGCTGGGAGTCTGGTCCTGGGGTCTTGGCACAAGGTTCAAGGCTCTCAAGAAGCTGATGACAGTCAATCATCAGAAACCACTGACAGCTTCCTGGTGGCACATAGAGAAGGCGGGGTGGGGGACTTAAGCGGTCAGGGAAGCAAGATAAACCCATGGTCCCCATCCCCTCCCCAAGCCAAGAGGTAAAGTGTCTCTTCAGTACCCTGCCTGTCCCCACTGTCCCTGAAGCTGTTCAAGGCCTCAGCCCAACCTCACATCACTGTAGCCCAGAGCAAGGTGCTCAAGGCAGGCCAGTGTCCCATCTGCAGCAGATTTGCCACCCAGTCTCCCCCATCCCTCATCCATCCTTGCCAGGGCCCCCTGTTCACAGCTGGGCTCCCAACAGGCTCTCAAGAGAGATGTGTCGAATGAATGAGGCGTGAGTGCACGCTGGGGTTGGTAGTGGGCAGGGGTCTGCCCTGGCAGCTGTCCTTGCTCCTCTTCTGGGCCTCAGGGCAGAGTGGCTACTGCAGTGGCCCCTTGCCCACTCCAGAGGCCCACTCAGGCCCTCAGGCACTTACTGAGCTGTAGGACATATCCTGAGCTGGGTGTCCCCGAAAGGAGGCAGCATATCAGAGGGGAAAGGACACTTCGTTTCGGCCTGGTCATCTACCTGGCCTGGGGGGGCCAGGTTTAGGGCCTATCCGGTAGAGCAGGGCACCACCTGCAGGAGGATCCCAGCAAGCAGATCGGGCTGGAAGGCCTGGGGAGGGCAGCTGAGCAGACCTCCGTGCCCCAGGCCGTGCCAGGGCCTTGGATCTTCTCAGATGTCCGCTCAGGCCCTCCCTTCCACTCCACAGTTCTACCTTCTCTCCGTTTCCTGCCTCTCTCTCTGCCTCCTGCTGGAGTACTTTTTTATTCACTATACTCATTCATTCATTTAAGGAATGTTTAAGGGTACTGGGAATGTACTAGTGAGGTTCGAGGCCTCAGGGACACAGCAGCAAATGAAACAGGCAACATTACCTGCCCCTGTGAAGCTTACGTTCCAGTTGGAAACCATAAGCACATAAACAAACTAAATATATGATATGTTAGATGATAAAAGTGCAGTTGGAAGAGATAGATGCTTTTTTTATTTTTAACGGTAGGGTAAGTAAAGAAACTACCCTCCTCTGAGAATGTGACAGCTGATAGCTAAGGAAAGACCTCAAGGAGGTAAGGAAGTGAGTCATGTAAATTCCTAGGGGCAGAACCACCAACACAGAGGGAACAGGAAGTGCAAAAGCCCTGAGGCAAGAGTGGGCTGAGTGTGTGTAAGGAATAGCAAAGAGGCCAGTGTGGCCAGAGCACACAGAGAGAGAAGGAGGACAGTGAAGATGGCGTTGGAGACAGAGAGGGACTGGATAGTGAGGGGCTTCGTCAGGCCTTGGAAGGACCTGGCTCTCACTTGGGCGAAGGAGAGCCATACAGGGCTTTGAACTAAAAGATTTACACTTTATTTTTTTATTATTTTTTTTCCAACTGCTTAGTTGTTTGTTTGTTTTTAACTGTTTAGGGTTTTTTTTTAGAGGATTTATGTTTTAAAGTAACAGTAGCTTATGTTACCAAGTGCTTAATACATATCAGCCATTTTTCTAAAAACACTGAACAGGTATTAACCCATTTAATTCTCCCAAAAACCTTTATTAAAGATGGCAAAACTGATACTAGGCGGTCTCTACCCGCTGATGGTAGTGGCACCACCCTACCCACCAAGTTGTAACAAATCAAAACTGTCTCCAGACATTGTCAAATGTCTCCCAGCAGACAGACCTGCCCCAGCTGAGAACCACTGCCCAAGTGTCCTCCTGGACTGAATGAAGAGACCAGGAAAGAGGAGTCCAGGACGGTTCTGGCTGGGTCAGCGAGTTGGGAAGTGGGGTCTGGATGCAGACTGGACACTTCCCCATTACCAGAGGGTCCCCCTGGCAGGCATGCCCTCCCCCCGTCACTTCCTCTGTCAAATTCCTCCTCCTCCTGCAAGCCCCAGTCACAAATGATGCCTCTTCCTTGAAACTTCTGGATTCCCCACTGCTGGAATGACCTGCTCCCCCGTCTGTGCTGTCCAAACCTGTGTTCTAGCAGCATCGTCCTCTGGTTTTTACTGAAGGCCCCTGTTGTGCCCTCAGTCCTCCCACTGTGGATTTCATGAGGACGAGGAGGTGTTTTTTATCCATGGTCTCCAGACAGATTACATCAAATCACCTTCAGCAGAGGCAGCTCTGGCCCTCTGAGTATCACGGGGAACTGAAACTCCCTATGGTTCAGGGATTCCCCTAGGTGCGTGGCCATCCTTGCGGAGGGTGGGGTAAGAGGTGGGCTGTCGTAGCCTGGACGCATTTACTGCGCACCTTGGGGCACATAGGCCCTGCAGGTGCCAAGTGCCTGCTCCAGTCACAGTTGCCCATGCATGACTGGCAGGCCCTCCCCAGACTCCAAGCCGCAAGGCTGCCCCCTCCACCCTCTGGGCAGCAGAGAAAGGGGTTTCGGTGAGAGATTCCACCCGGTGAGACACTGGTTGACCACTGTGGGACAAGGCACCCCCTTGTGGTAAAAACCCTCCCCAGCAACCCCCAGTACCCTTTTCATAACAATAACAGCAGCCAGTGAGGCTGCCCTCTTGTACCCCAGAAGCCTCTTAGGTGGCCTCCTTTGTGCTTCACCCTCACCCCTTACAGTCTCTTCCCTACTCCACAGCCCAGGAAGACTTTTAAAATGTAAACCACATCATGTCACTCCTCAGTCTGATAAAATAAACCCCCAAAACCCAGATCAGCAAAGAACACGATCCCCCTCTTTCTTCCTGATCTTACCTCCTCCTATTACTCCTCCTCCCACTCACTCCCCTCCAGCCACAATGTCTCCTTCCTGTTCCTCAAACACTCCCTGCCTGCTCCTGCCTCAGGGCATTTGCAATTGCTGTTCCCTGTGCTGTAATTCCCTTCCCCAACATCCCCAGGGCTCCTGCCCTCATCTCCTGGTGGTCCCAGCTTCCACACAACCTCCTCAGGGAGGCCCTTCCCATCCCATCACTCTGTCTGAAACAGCATCCCATTACGCAGCTTCCTTTCTCCTCGGATACTTGTCAGTCCCTGAGACATGATCTGTTCACTGTCTACCTTACTAGCAATCAATCATAAATGCTCCACAAAGTGGAGATTTGCAATGTCTAGTTCACTGCTCTATTCCCAGTGCCTGGAACAGGATGGAGTAGATGCTTAGTAAATATTTGATCCATGCCAGACAGCACTTCATTTAGCCCCCACAAGAAGCCTGTAACTTGCCCATCTCAGGGATGTGGAAAGTGAGATTCAGAGAGTTACATAAGGGGCCTGCGTGTGGTCACAGGAGCTTGTCTGAGCCGAAGCCGCAGCTCCAACCCAGCTGAGTCTCCCCTCTGCCTCTCTGCTCCCCACCTCCTTTCCCACTTGGAAAATAATACAAGTGGTTCTGCCTTTCCCTCGCCCTGGAATAGGCAAGATTGGCAACTGATGACTCAAAACAGGGCCCAAGGTGGATTCTTCCACAAAGGTCCTGCCCAGGATCCCACAGGGAGAGATATTCCGCTGTCTCCCCAGGCAGGCAGGCCCACATTTCCCTGGGGCCACCCCCATGCTCCTTCCCCTCTGCACACCTCTTGCCTTTCAGCCACTGCTGTCCCCCAAATACCTTCAGAATGGATCCGGGGGCTGCTTTTCTCACCACATCCCACCAGACATACAGTGAGAAAGAGACAGAGACATACGGAGAGAGGGGGAGAGGGAGGGGGGAACAGAGACCCACATGCAGTTACCAGAAGAGAGAGATGGAGGAAGATGGCAGAGAAGAGAGGGGCAGAGGCTTGGCAAGTTCTGACAACATGGCTCAACTTAAACCTACAGGACTGACCAGGGCCACTGCCAGCTCAATTGGCCCTTTTAAGTAAATTAGAGGCACCTCCACAGGGTTTCAGAGCCCTCTCACCCTTCAGCCAAGCGCCCTGCTGCAGGGTACGGCCCGCACAGCAGTGCATGGCAGCCCTCCCCTGACTGTCCACACACCCACGAGGTGAAGACAGCTTTAAATATCACCCAGTCCTTGGGTCAGACCCACAGACGCATCTGCAGCGTTCCCTCAAACACCATTCAGGAAGGCCTGGCCTCTCTCTGTGTGGGTGGGGAGCCTGCGCCCAGCCCTCTGTCCCCGCCCACTGGTCTTCCCCCACAGCAGGCCCCTGGGCCACTCGTGCCAATCTAGGCCCATCCACAGAAACCAGCCCAGGACCTTTTGGGGCCGGCAAAAGGCCCTCAGGCCCGTGTGCCTGCACGCAGCCCCACCACACCCCTGTCCTGCTCCAGCACTGGCAGCCACACTCCCAGCCTCACAGACCTTCCTCTCCATAGTTCATAGGGACCCCAGAGCCAGGTGGACGACGAGGTGCCATGACCCTTGCTTAACATAAAGGGAAAGAGAGACTCTGCTCCCCTCACTCCCCAGCAGCCCCATACTTGAGGGGTCCCAGGAAGAGGTGCTCCTGTCCCTGGGAGCTGAGGTGGCCTCGGAGTGGCCACTTGGCTCAGGTGGGCAGCCAAAGAGCCTGAGCTGCCAGCAGCGCCAGCCTCCCTGACCCATTGTGGTGCCTGCCTGTGCCCAGGAGCTGTTGGCTGGCCCCACCCAGGAGGCAATGGGAGGTGCAGAACTGCCTCCTGGAGGGCTCTGGGCCCAGGCAGCCTCCTCCAGCCAGGGCATGGCTGGCACCAGGTTTGGGGGCTTCTCAGGCAGGCGGAAGGCAGAGAAGTACCCTCTCCGTGGGGTCCATGAGGAGTGCTATGTCCATGCGGGGAGCACCAGGGGTCCACATGCAGCCACGGAGCGAACAGGCTGCCCTCAGAGGCCCCCACCCTTCCCAACAGCCAGTACTCTGGGAGGAAATAATCAGGGCACAGGTGAGTCATATGGTCATAAGGCTGCTTCCCAGCTGACTCAGAGGGACAGTCCAGATGGGCCCTTCCACCAGCCTCAGCTCAGAGCCTGAATCAAGGATTCCAGGGGGTGGGGCCTGAACAGGAAGCCCAGGAGAAAATAAAGCCTCAGCCCACCTGTGAATCACTAGCCCTCATCAACCCCAGTCCGGGGTAGGTGGGGGTTGTGGGGAGTGGTGAGGGGATGAGAGGCGGGGACTCCCACCTTCACTGGGCTGGGCGGAGCTGGGGCAGGAGGCCAGGTCACTGCAGTTTCCCTACCACCACCCCAAGCACTGATATCCATCTGACAACCAGCTGTTGTTTTCAATTACAATAATTATTTGGAGTGGCCCCCATGTTCTGACATTGAACTTCAGCTCTGCCACAGGCCTCGGGTTGGACACAGTGGGGGCCCCACAGAGAAGGCCAGACGAGCTGTAAATAGCAGTTGTGTTGATAAGAACTAGGGCAGTGGGAGCTCTCTCGCACACTTGTGCTGGGAGCTCAGAACGGGAGGGAAGGAACCAGGATCCTACCGGGAGCCAGCAGGACCTCCTGGCATAGCACCTCCTGGTGCCCAAATCCGGCCTGGCCCTCCCTCCCACTGGATACCCATAAAGCCAGGTATAAGGGTGAGCCCTTCCATGGCCAGTAAGGGCACAGCATTGCGCACCCCTAACGCAAGCCCATCCTTGTTTCTGGGATTAGGTAGAGTTGGGCTTTCTAGATGTCTGGACCTCCCTCAGCCTGGACTCCTCAGAGGTGCTCAGCACCAAGCATGGCAGACTGGCCGCGACCAGGAACAGCAGGATAGGGTCCTGCCTCCAGCCCCTATAGCATGGGCCCTCCTCCATCAGCCCCAGGAACCCCTCACACGCCCCCTATCCCAGCCCCAGAGGCAGGTCCACATGGTCCCAGGGCTGCTTTCCTGGTTTTGTCCCTGTGCTGGCTGGGCAGCAACTTCCTCCTAGAGAATTCCCGGATCCTCCTTGTGAGGCCACAAGCCTGGCCTGGGAACTTAGGAGGGAGGGAGGTCAGGAACACTCCTACTGAGAGGGGCAGGCAGCAGGGGCTCCCTTGGCACTCTGGGCTACATGCCCTTCCTCACTCCCACCCCCATATCAGGTGCACCAAATCTCCTGTCCTCCGCTCAGATGCCCTACTGTGGCCCCTCCACTGGAACCCAGGGCTCTGCAGCCAGGGCAGCCTGGTGGCCCATGGGCAAGGACTAGGACTAGACTGAGACCTCTATAAACTAAGCTTGTTCCTGGATTGAGGATGAGGGACGGGGTCCACAGACAGACAGCCCAAAAGGCCAAAGTCAAATTGGGTTTTATTAGTAACATCACAGGTCTGAGTCAGGTGACTGGGGACAGTCTGCTGGGCAGGCCCACTCTGCAGACACATGGACAACCATTTATCTTAAGAGCCCTTGGCCCCAGGGGCTCCTTGATGTGCCCTAAGAAGTGGGGGACACATCCCTATGTGGGTTGCAGGGATCCGGGCAGGGCAGACTCAGGCCAGCACCAGGTTCACTCTGGGGGCCAGTTTCCCATCTCATCCATCTCCTCAAGGAGCAGGTGCTGGGGGGCAGAAGTGGGTGAAGGAAGATGACTTGGCATCTTTGAGCTCTCCCCTCCCTGATCTGCATCCTCCCAGAACCTTCCCACCTACTCCCAGAGACAAGCACCCCAAAGCCTTTTCCAGACCCTCTCCCATGTGGACCCAGATCCACTAGCCCTGAGCCACCTCCCTCCCTCCCATAAAATAGAGGTACCCTCTCCCTCCAACTTGGGAGGGGTTCCCTGGAAGCCCTCGAGCCAGGCACCCCAACCAAGCCCTCCCTTCCCTCACCTCTGTCCTGGACATCACACCAATGGGGCTCTGCACCCTTCCCTCCAGCCTAGGATGGTGCTTCCACTGCCTCAGCACCCCTGCCCCAGGTCCCCAGCATTCCCCAAAGGCTGGGAGGCGACTTCCTTCCCCCTCAGCCTGGTGTTCCTGAGGGCAGATAAGGAGAAAGCAGGGGTGGTGATGGACATGACCCCTGAAACACCCGCAGGAGAAAGACATTCTGGAGGCAGCTGTGTCCCCATGAGGACTGAGCTGGGCCCCCACTTGCCATTACCCAGAAGCTCCCTAGGGGCCCCCAGCACTGCTCCGGCTACTCTAGGACTGTGACTCCTGGGAGCGGGGCAGCCCGGCTCAGGGGGCAGTTCTGCAGGGGAGGGGAAGCAGGAGGGAAGGGTGAGCAGAGATCCTTTCAGCGAGTAAAGGCAAATGCAAGGGCCCTGCCAGAGCGACAATCAGTGTGATGGCGGGGTGAGGTGGCCCAGCATGTTCCCCAGAGCACAGAGGGGCGCCCTGTGACTCATGTGGGCTCAGGACAATGGGAAGGCTGCCTCTCAGTGCCCCAGAGGCAAGTATTTCTGGTGTTCACGACCCCAAGGGGGAGATGTAATCCCCGACACTAGATTGCCCTTTGCAGCTGAAGGTCACACACTCTTCAGCTTATCCATCCTCCAATGGTTCTCTTTTACAGGTAAAGAAACCAAGTCACAGAGCAAGTCAGTGCCAGAGCAGAGACTTCGACTAAAGACTTCGCTCTTCCTTTTGTAAGCGACACAGACTATCAGGGACAAAATTCCACTGAATGAAAGGATGAGCTGATGAATGAATGGAAGGATAAAAAGGACTTTGACACATTTGTCATCAACAGATCTGTCAATGTGCACTCAGAGAAGCTGGGACAGGCCCAACATATAAGGCCAAGGAGGCCAAGGTCAAAGAGGGTGGGCCTGTGGGTAGTCCTTGCCCATGCCTCTGCGTGTTCGTGGGAGTAGGCATGGCTGTGAATTGGGGGAGAAAACAGAGAAAGAGCAACATTATGTGACTGACAGAGGCACAGGAAAGCCTTAAAGCCACCTAGACAAATCTCCTCATTGTAGAGATGAGGAAACTGAGGCCCAGAGAGGGGAAGACAACTGCCCAAGGCCACACAGCAGGTGGATGGCAGTTAAGCCTTAAATATGGACATCTGGACTCGAGGTCAAATGACAGACTGATGGAGAAGTGTGTGTGCAGGGGGTCAGGACCTCCTCTGCACTCTGACAGCACCACCCCCAAGAAGGAATTATGCCTTTCACACCCAAAAGTGGCGGGTTGGTGGAGGGAGGGGTGATGCTGGAGCCAGGCCCAGGGGCCTGAGAAGATAGGAGGTCTCCAGCCCCACTTTCCCCAGTGCCCTCAGGCAGGATGTGGTAGTTGGATGGGCCAGGCACATCTGGCTGTCCACAATGCCTGCCTCCTCCAGGGTGATCTCCTGCTGGGCCAGTAGCTCCTGGCCCTCATGGCCACCCATCTTCCAGAGGCAGGAGTCCTGTTGTACTACCGGAAGCTTCTTTAACTCCGACTCCACAAAACCTGAGAGCCAGAGAGATGGGCATGGGACAGGCAGGAGAAAGGTGGAGCGACCTCATGAGGATGAAGGAAGAGGAGGTGGCTCCGGCTCTCCAAACCTCACCGCAGCCTGTGCAGCCCCTGGTCACCCCCAGCCATAGCCCTTTCTTCATCCCTGGAGCCAGCCAGATGCCACCTCCCTACCACCCTGCCTTTCTCAGGAAACTCACTTTCCATGGGCTCTCTCCTGCCAGTATGAGTGTGAGTCTCTTTCCCTACCTCCTGGGGAGAGCACGCGAGGGCCAGACATCTGCCCCGACTCCCACCTGGCCCACTCCAGCCACCAACTTCAGAGCACGGATCTGAAACCACCCAAACCCCCTGGGTTCGAGTTCCAGCTCTGCCACTTACTAGCTGTGTGAGCTTGGACAAGTTTTATTTAACCTCTCTGTGCCCCACTTTCCTCAGAGTGAAGCAGAGACTGTAACAGGACCTACCTCAGAGTTAAAATGCATTACTTCATGAAAAGTGCTTAAAAGAGGGTATGGCCCATAGTAATGGCTATGAAAATGTCAACAGTGATGTTATCGTAATATGTGACTACCACTAGGCCATCTGCTCACCATGTCTGGGCAGCAAGGGGGCTGTAATGGGAGAGTGGGCCCTCTGGGACACTGTCACAGCAGTGCATGATGCGTGATGGGAAAACTAGGGATGGAGGTGGCCAGTGAAAGAGGGAGAATTTCGGGCTGGGACTGGGTAGTGCTTGAGGAACTGGAGTCCCAGTCAACCCCCCACCCCACCCCCACCCCGGCAGCCTCCCAAACCCTGAGGGAGGAGGACACTAGCTAGACCTAGCCTGACCTCCAGACCAGCCACACACTGGTCCCCGAGCTCGAGTGGTCATCTTCGGTCTTCTGGTGCCACCTGGTGGTAAGAACTGGCATTGCACCCATGAGCCACAGGCCAAAGTGGGACTCCCTCTACCTGGGGACTGATTAGGCGGGGAGGTGGGGGCACCACACTTACCTACTGTATCTGTCGACCCAGAAGTCTTATGCAGCGGCGACTGGAAGGTGACAACGTCTGGGACACAGAGCTTGAATGAGCTGTCCTCTTCCTCCATTTCCTCTTCCTCATCTTTCTCCTCGTGGGGCAAGACTTCCCTGAGAGGAAACTGAGGGTGTGCCCCGTCAATGAGCAGATCAGGGTGCAGGGCCCCAAGCCCGCACCCCAACCCAAAACAGAAAGCAGGAAGGAACAACAGCTCCCAAAGGGTTAAGAAAGATGACTGCTCCCCTGAGACCCTAGGCAGGCCTCACCCCCGCAACCAGAGCCTAGCCCCACGGACCTTGGCCATGGCCAATTTCTGAAGCTGCTTGTACAAGCTGAGGAGGCAGTTCCAGGGAGTTGTCCCTACTTTCGAGGAGGCCAACCCGAGGTCTCCTGTGGAGGGGTAGGGGTCACTGACAGGCTGACAGCAATGAGAGGCGGCCCAGGCCCAAGCCCAGACGGGCAGGGACACAGGGAGGGCCAAGCTGAAGGTAAGGTTTCCTTGTTTTCATTAGCAAACACCTCCTATGTGCCAGGAACAGTCCCAGGCACTCACAAAGAACTTCTCGTTTCATCCTTGCAATTGCCCTCTGAGATAGGTACTGTTATATTCCCATTTTATAGATGAGGAAACTGAGACACAGAAAGGTTGAGTGACTTGCTGCCATCACACAGCTTGGCCTAGTGGAGTAGGAATTCAAATCCAGCCTGCTTCCAGCATTCCCTCAAACTGCCCTGTGTCCTCACAGGCCCCACAGCCCTGGGGAGTTCTAGAGGAAGATGGTCTGTTTCTGGCATCTCCCTCACGCCTGTGGCCACCACACTCACCATTAAGAAGACACTCCTCCTCCTCCTCCCTGGTGAAGGCCTCGGGGCTGAATGCCAGTGGCCCCATGGCCCTTTGCAGGCATCCTTGCTCCAAGGCTTGGGCAAAGTGGCCCCTGATCCCAAAGCATAGTCAGATGCAGGTGGCAGGTGGAGCCCAGAGATGTGGTGAAGGCCCCCTAGCCCCTCCAGCCCCCTAAGGCTCTCACACAAGCCCAGCTCAGCCTCCTCCATCCTCCTGTTCCCAACAACTCCCTGCTGTGCCCTCTGGGGTCTTCATCACAGAGGTGGGTATCTGTCTCCAATAACAGGGTGAGGAGAGGGGTGGGGAGCAGAGGGAGAAGTGGGCCCCCTTCCTCACTAGGGTGGGCACCAAGTCCACATAGGAGTGGGAACCAGGAAGGAGAGAGTGAGGAGGGAAGGCAGGGCGGAGTGGGGCCTGGAAAGGAGCCCTTCCCAGTCCCTGGCCTGTCCCCCTTTCCTTTCAGTGCCTCCATCCATAACCCCTCACTTGTGGGAAGACCCCCATCTCTGCCTCCAACAGCCCCGAGCTCCTCTCCAACCATCATGTGTCCATCCATTCCCCACCCAGTCCTCTGCCCATCCAAGGAGTCTGTTCCTGGTCCATCCCCATTCTGGGTCCTCCCATCCAGGTCCACATCCTTCCCTCTTCTTACATCCAGGCCTTGCCCCAGTACCACCATCCGAGGCTCCTTCCCACAATCCACAGCCCAGCTCCTCACCTGTCTGAGGTCCCAGTATCCCTTAAGGCCTTCCCTGCTGCTTCCTCCTCCTCATCTTCCCTCTCCTCCAACTCAAACAGGTTGCCCAGCACCTCCTGGCTTCCTCTGGGCAGGACTGACTTCACCTCTGCACCCTGGGCCACGACCCTCAGGACCTCCATGGGGGTGGGGGTCTGGGGCCCTGCATCCCCCATCCCAAGCCTTGAGGGATCGGGCTGTGATAGGGCCACAGAGAGGGTATAGGGCAGCACGGCGGATGGCCTGGACTCCTTCCTCCCTGCTCCTCCCTGGTGAAGGGGATGGCGTCCTGCTCTGGCAAGGGGAGTGCCCGACCCCCTAACAGGGCCTTGTCTGAGCTCTCTGGGCTGCCCTTGCTCCCCACCAGGCTATGGAAAAGGCAGAGCATAGAGGAGTGGCCCAAAATTCTGGATCGAGGGGTTGGAGCTGGGGTCTCCATCTTGAGAAGGACCTGAGTCAGAGAGAAGGGCTGTAGCAGCCACCTCAGGACCAACTGCTTAAGAATAGAAGGTTTTCAAATTAAAACCTCCAGTTGGAAACTTCCAGGAGTTCTAGAAGGCAAAGGTGGGGGTGGGGTATGGTAGGGGGGATTTGGCTGGGGGCAGAGTGTGCAGGGGGTAATGAAGCAGGGGAAGGAGGCCTGGGGAGCCAGCCTGAGTGGGGCAGTTGGCGAGGCTCCAGGAGACACAGGGGTAGGGGGCCAGAGGAGGTTGGGGAACCCCGACTCAGAACGGGGCAGGGGCACTCACCCCTCTCCACTAGGCCTGTCCTTCCCTGGCTGTGGCTGCTTTTGTCCTTGAGGGCCATTCCCAGAGGCCAGAGAGTATCTGTCCTCCCTCTTGTCTCCCTCTCAGCATCCAGCTTGCACGTGCCCAGGTTGTAGCACAGACCCTGTGTTTTCATCTCTGTTTACCTGCCTATCACCTTCAAGATTTTTACCTCCGGACACCACCAAGGTGCTTGGTACATGGGTCTTAACTGCACGTTGAATCTCAATTTAGTATTATATCCCCCACCTACAGCCCCGATTATAAAACCAGCTCAGTGATCTGGGGAGAGGTTCCTTAAACCAGTCTCCTAAGCCTCAGTCTATCCATCTGTAAAACGGGTGTAGGCTAAGTACCTACTTCCATAGGTTGTTGAGAGGATTCGGTGAGACAGTAGTTCCTAAAGAGCCTGGCACACAGTGGTGCTTAAGAAACCTCACCATCCTGGCTTTTTTATTAATATTGATGATGGAAGTGGGGAAAAGACCAAGGATGAGGGCTGGGAATCAGTGGTGGGAAAGCAGTGGGGGAGGGGGAGACACTCCTCCCGGGTGGGAGCAGCTCTCTCGCCAGGGAGCCGAGACCAGACCGAGCCCAAGGCTTAGGCTGGTGCATCCGCATCCGGCGGCCACAGAGCAACTTCCTCTAGAGGGAGCTGATTGAAGCAGGGAGCTGCCGGCACCTCTATGATCACCGAAGCCTTGCGGGTCCCCAGGGCCGCGCCAGGACAAGCAGAGGCTGCATCCGGACACCAGGAATTCACTGACGCCCGTTCTGGGAAGCCAGGCCTGGGTACCTTACCCTTGGGAGCAGCCACCGGCCTCTCAGGATCTCCGGCCTCCACCCTGCTGAGCGATCCCGGGCCAGGGCCAGGGCCAGGGTCCGGGCAGGTAAGCGGGAGGGTCCTGCCCATCCTCCCTGTTCTCTGAAACCTAGGCCCAGGGTGAGGCAGGGAACCCTTAGGGGGCCCGGTGGGGAGGGGGAGGCCTCAAGGCTTATCTGGGCAGCTCTGCCAACCCCTGCTGGGGGCCTGATCCAGTCAGGGCTCCCTCTGGCTGCCATACAGACAGCTTCCCCTCTTGCTCAGGCCCTGGGTGCCAGAGAATCGGGTGCCAAAGAACCAAGTTCTTGAGCAATCTAGGGGATGGGAGTGGAGGTCAGAGCCAAGGTCAAGGGCAGGGGGAGAACTTTTATAGCGCTTCCTGCTGCCCCAGGAGTCCTAACACTAGGTCTGCAAGTCAAGCCAGGCAGCTCCCCCTGGGAAACAGCCTGGGCCCAGCAAACCCAGCAGGTGGGGTACAGTGGACGGCCCCCTACCAGGAAGTCAGGCCACTCGGATGAGGGCAGAGGCAGACTCAGGTCGGCACAGGCCTCTGGCCCTGGGGGCTGTTTCTAGGCTCCACCTTCATCCCAGAATTAAGTCCCAGGGGCAGTGATTGAGGTGCAGTAGGTATCCCCCCCAGCCCTGCAGTCCTGGGGGCACCAGGCTTCAGGGACCAGGGGAGAGAGGAAGACACCTTGTTCAGGAAGCAGCGGTTGGGATGGGGGTGTGCCAGGCAAAGGTCTATTTTAAAGAGGCCAGGCACCCAGGGGTGGAGGAGGGGAGGATCTGCCTTCCCCCCTCCCTGCCCTGAAAGAGTGGAAGGGTGGAGAACACAGAGGGACCCCCCCTTCTCTGGGGCATTTTCAAAAATGGCCCCAGGCCTGAGAGGGAAGAGAGTGGGGGAGGGTACACAGGTCCTCCCAGGGAGGAAGGAGCAACTGTGCTTGGCCCCAGGAAGGGCTGGGCCCTCCCCAGGGATAGGAGGAGGGGGTTTCCCACCCGGGTGGTGGAGGCAGCTTTGGGGTGGGAGGAAATGAAGGGGGTGCAAACTGAAAGTGAAACAGCTTATGTCCAGGAAATACACCCTCTGTGGACGCTGTACAGAGCAGACCAGAGTTGTGGCCAGAACTGGGCAAAAGAGGAAAACAGAGGCTGGAGACAGGAGAGCAAGGAGGTACATGTGTGAGACAGGTTGGGGGGCTGGGAAGAAGGTTTCCTCAACTACCTGCCACGCAGGAATGGGAAGAGCACAGGTGGGACTCAAACAGGGGAAGTTGCCCTGGAAAGGACACCCTCTGAGGTTCACAAACTGGAAAATAAGTCTGAAATGAGTGTTAAGTGGAGGATGGACTCATGGAAATTCAGATAATCAGCCTGATGCCTTGACTAGCTATGTGGCCTTGGGCACTAACTTCTTTGTGCCTCACCTTTCCCACCTATAAAATGGGCATGCTAGCGCTTACCCTGCCAGGTTACTGTGCTCTTTCCATGTCCAGCCCCCCCGGGGAGTACACATACATACGTGGTAGAAGCATACCACAGGCACTCAGGAAATGTTTGCAGCTAACAGGCCTGAGCTGGAAAACAGGTGTGTTCTGACTAGCCAAGGGGAAGTGAGACCTTCAAGGACAGCCTTCATGGGTCATTGGCTGGAAGGTAGCAAGTCTGCGGTAAGCATGTGCTGGGTAAGGTGCAGGAGGCCCTGGGAGCAGCAGAAGGAACCCCAGCCTCTGAAACTAGCCTCCCTGGCCCAGGAGTGGGGTGAAATGCAACTAGAGATCCCCTAGGGCACTATAGCAGCACCCCTTCTCCTGGCTGATCCCTGGGTGGGAATTTTGGCTGCCTGGCTTTTCTCACCCCCAGTGTCCCTTGAAGAGCTGCCAGTGTAATACTCAGTAAGTTCTTAGGGCGGTGGGGTCTTGGGGGAATGGGGGCCCCCTTCCCTCATGTGGCTGAAGAAACCTCTGTTCCCCATCTTTGCTTTTTCTCACCCATCCCCACAGGCTAACACTGCCCTCCACCAGGACCTGAGGAATGGCATCCGGACAAGGTCCAGGTCCTCCCAGGCAGGGGTGTGGAGAACCTGATCCCTCCTCCACTTCGGGTGAGGGTCTTTGTCCCCTCTCCCATCCCATGACCACCAGAGTTGTCTGTGAGGATGGAGAGAGTAGATGTGGAAAAGCCAGGCGGGAATGAAAGGCAGGCTTGCCTGCCTCAGTTTACTCACCTTGTATAAAGGAGAAAAGCATCTCCCTACCCAATGCAGGCAGCCCGTCAGGCTCAGAAGCTGGACTGCAGTCAAGATTAAGCCCTGAGAATCGGGGGAGTCTTGGTGGGAGGAGGGGTGGGAGGTTTTGAGGCTGGGAGGGGTCAGGGAGGGAGCATGAGATGGGTACAGTGCCCTCCCAGGGCAGCTGGGCAAGGTGGGGTGAGGAGGAGGAAAGAAGGGCGTGGCGTGGCTGTCCTATCCCTGCAGTGGGAGAAATAAGGAAGTCAATGGGCTTATCACCAAGTCAGGTCTGCTAAACAGGGAACGGGGTTGTTACAACTTTGGGGGAGGAAGTAAGGTGGCTGCCCCCGTTCCCTGTTCCAAGGGGACCATCAGGGAAGCCTGCAGCTCACAGCCCACCCCAGGTTCTTCCCTGGACTTTGGGTTCAGTCCCAGGTTTGTCACTATCTCTCGATGTGGTTTTTCTGGGCCTCAGGCTACAATTTCAAATTTGGTTTCCCACATTCCCTAAGCCATAAGGGCTGGGTGCCTTGTACACACTAAAATGAAGTCAGGAACCCAAGTGCCAGGGATTCCATCCTGTCTATACTGCTCCCTCCAGCTGTATGGCCTTGTGCAAGTTACATAAACACTGTGCCTCAATTTCCCCGTCTGTAAATTAGGGATCAGCTACTTCACAAGACTGTTGTGAGGATTAAATGAAAAGTGCCAGAAGACTACTCTGCACAGAGTAAGCACTAGGTGTTAACTAAGGACCAGAAGAGAGACACTTCTGTCCACAGGCAGAGTGAACCATCCCCAGAGCACTTCCTCCCTGACTCCCAGCTTTGATCCTCAGAGGAGCAGGTAGCCCGGGACACGGAGGAGGTTTTCCGCAGCTACGTTTTTTACCGCCATCAGCAGGAGCAGGAGGCTGAGGGGGCAGCTGCGCCCACCAACCCAGAGATGGACACCTTGCCCCTAGAACCTACCAGGTGAGCAGCAGGTCCCTGGGCCCACAGGGAAGTGGAGGCTTATTTGGGGTCCCCATGCAGGTCTTGGGAGCTGGAAAGGCCTGGAGGGGTCTTGCCCTTCTCCCACTGCTGCTCCTTTTTCAACTGGGGCTCCCACACCCATCCAGGACCCTGCACCCTTTTTAGCACATGCCTGCCCCTTGTCCTTGGGCCCAGCCTTTATGTTTGAGAACACTCTCAGGACCTCTAAGGAGGGGTGCACAAGGCCAAGGGCATCTCAGGCAGAAGCCCTTTGCCATGAGCCCGGGCCCCAGTACTAACTGCCTGCTTGCCAGCTCACCTGCTGCCTCCTGTCCCTCCAGCACCATGGGGCAGGTGGGTCGCCAGCTCGCCATCATCGGGGACGACATCAACCGGCGCTACGACTCAGAGTTCCAGGCCATGTTGCAGCACCTGCAGCCAACAGCAGAGAACGCCTACGAGTATTTCACCAAGATTGCCTCGAGGTAGCTTCGGCCACTGCCTCTCCATTGCGCTGTCACCACCGTGCTGTGCCCTGCCCACGGGATAGGATGACGCTTCTCTGTCATTGTCAGGAGACGTGTTTGTCATCCCTGTGTCTGCTGTTAATTCATGTGTGGCCTTGGGCCCCTGTCTCTTTCTCTCTCTAGGCTCAGGCTCTTCATCTCTGGTGTATAAGGTTACATCCCTTGTAAACTCTGGCATTTGACCCATTAGATCAGGACTATGGAGGTGCTCTGGTGGGGATGTCCCCAGAGCCCCCCAGCCCAGTTGGGACACAGCTGTCCTTTGGATTTGGAGCCACATTTCACACCAAAGATGGTAAGGTTGCTGGACCTGGCTTCAGCCTACCAGGTTCTGGAAATGGCTTCCAGATGGTATAATCTGGTGTCAGAGAGGCAATCTGCAGTTAAAGAGACCAACTGCCTGGGTCAAATCTCAGCTTTGCCTGCCACTTACTGGCTTTGTGAAACTTTCTAACCTTCAGTTTCCTAGTCCGTAAAATAGGGGAAATATGTTTTGAACAGTGTCCACACTTAAAGGTGTTAGCCGTTGTCATCACCTGGGTAAGGAGGTCAGCCTTGGGGTAGATTCGAGGCTGAGGGTGAAGGATGAGTAGGCAATAGATTTAGAATTGGTGCTCAGGGCTGAAACATCCTGCCTGTGTCCTTAGAGGCCACCACCCACTCTGCTGTGATTCTAGGACCTGTCCTAACCTCTTCTGTCCTTTTCTCTCTGCTGTCCCTCGGGCTGCCAGGCCAGCAGCAGCACCCACAGGTAATCTCCCTACTGCCTCTGTCCACCGCTCTGTCCTCCACGCTCTCTGCGCCCCTTTGTGCCCCCAGCACTTGGGTCACACCCCCAGCAGCAGCAGCCCACTTCTATGCCCTCTTAGTTTTCTCCTTTCACAGAAACTCAGGCTCTTCCCAAATTGAGGCCAAGCTGGGGCAGCCTCTGGTGCCTCGATTCACAGCTAAGCCATTTTGCTTTCCAGCTGGTGGGGGGCAGGGAATGTCCAAAGAGATGGGAGAGGAAAAGCAGGCCAAAGGGCCCTCTGGGGTACTCCACTGACTGTGTCGACGCTCTGTCCCCAGCCTGTTTGAGAGCGGCATCAACTGGGGCCGAGTGGTGGCTCTCCTGGGCTTCGGCTACCGCCTGGCCCTACATGTCTACCAGCGCGGCCTGACTGGCTTCCTGGGCCAGGTGACCCGGTTCGTGGCCGACTTCATGTTGCATCACTGCATTGCCCGGTGGATCGCGCAGAGGGGTGGCTGGGTGAGTGCCCAAGCATTGATGACCGCCTCCCTGCTGCTGGGACCACCCCCCTCACAGCCCCACCCTGGTCCCAGGGCACTGTACACCTGCCAGCCCCTTTGTGACCACTCTGTCTCTCTTGACAGGTGGCAGCCCTGGACTTGGGAAATGGCCCCATCCGGAACGTGCTGATAGTTCTGGCCGTGGTTTTGTTGGGCCAGTTTGTGGTACGAAGGTTCTTCAAGTCATGACTCCCAGAGGGGCCCTTGGGGATCCTGAGACCCCTGCATGGACTTCGGCCCAGCCTTCTCCCCTCACCTCTTCCCCTGCCGGGGTTCCCCTCATTAAGAGTACAGAAGCTTTAGCAAGTCGACACTTCAACTTTGGAGGGCCCCTGCCCAGAGATCTGTCAGGCTGCAGGCTGCCCCAACATTGCATGGTGCTAATAGGCCCCCTCTCAGAGAGGGGCTGTGGCCTCCTCCCTTAGCTCTCTGGGACCCCCTGTGCCCTGTCTGCTGGGCACTGGGGACATTGATAACTTGGGGACACAAGAGGCTGGGAGCCACTTCTCCCCAAGGAATTATCAACAGTTTTAGCTTTTTATAATACCCTTGGGAGGACGCACCCACCCCAGCCCCATTCCTACCACTCTGCCCAAGGCCAGGATGTCTGGGGTGTGGGGGTTAGTAGCCCTCCCCCTCCCCAGGATTCAGCTATTCTGGAAGGTAAGAGCTTGAGAACTGGGCCTGGAACCCAGTCCTGGCACTTCCTAAGCATCATGTCCCCCAGGGCAGGACTGGTGGGGACAAGGTCCTGCCCAGCTTCCTCTCCCTCACATTCCTCCCCCACCATTGCCTTTCAGTTGGACTCTCAGGGATTCTAGGGTATGAGTGGAGTCAGGGTGCAGACCAGAGCTGCCTGAAATTATTCATCAGCACCTGCCAAGCCTGCCTTCTGAGATCCTCCTCTTCCCCCTTCCCCTCACCTATTACCACTTGCTCCTGCTCCATTCACTACCAGTGAAGCTCGCCCCACCCCATCACTCCAGATAAGGAAGGTGGGGGTCTTGGGTGAGTGGGGTGCTGACATTATGGTTTAGGACTGTGGTTTGTTATTGTCAGGGAAAAGGGGTAGGGAGCTCATCCTGAGGTTTCTGAGTGAGAAAAGGGCTATTAACACCACTATGAACCCCAGGATTGGGACCCTTCCTCATGGCCTGGGCACAGTGTAATCTGGGGGTATGGATGGAGAACTGTGAATACTTGAACTCTACCCCCCTAGTGGAGTCTCTACACTCCACACCTACCTAAGCCCCTCCTGTGAGTGGGGTAGGAGTGCCTCATCTATCTTGCACAGCCTAGGGGTTTGGAGGTCAGGGGAGAGTTCTTAATTAAGCCAAGAGCTGGGAGGGGATGCAGGCAGAGCCGGCTGACCACCTCCCACCCTTTGAGTGTGTCTGAAAATAAACTGCAATCCCCCCATTCCCACTTAGTAATTTTTGTCTCCTCTGCTACCCTTCACTCCATCAGGCTGGATTGGGGGAAGCTGGGCATGCCTGGCTTTCACCTGGTTTATTACTGAATAAGGTCTCATCTTGGGCCTCCAGAATCCTGTAGTGGGCTAAGTGTGTTTCTCCAGCCCACTAGAAGGCCCCAGCCCCTTTCCCAGGCACGACCCTCATCTCTGGGTTCCAGGCAAGTTTCCAGGAAGTCAGGGGTCCCTAAACTGCTAGGCTCTGGCTGCAGAGCTGATGGAGCAGCTGCACTTGCCTGGGAACCCCCAAAGGCCTGGCCTGAATGCCTCTCCCTTCCAGGGCCCTAAAAGCCCTTCTGCCCCATGCTTGGCTCTACCTGGGACACAGTGTCCTGGCTCCCTCTTCCCGATGTCCCCCACAGCTAGCACACACACAGGGTTTTTCATTCTAGGAGTTTTGTGCTGCATGGGAGTCCCTATGGGGACGCAGCCAGGGGTGATAAAAATAACAAGCATGGGGGCGTTTAATGTTCCAAAATCTACAAAGTCTTTCCAGTCCTGGGCACCCTGGTCTGCTGTTTTCTGACACCCTTCCAAAGTGGTCACATCCAAGTCCTAAAAGACTCTTTCTCACTCCCCTGAGGGCATCTTGCCAATTCCCCGGCCCCTGACTTGGTCTTCGAAGAGACCGCAGTCGTGGGCGGGAGTGCGGGATGGGCGCTGCAGCCGCGGTGGCTGAAGGGTGGTAGCTACAGGCCTCCTGAAAGAAAAGCACGTAGATAACACTTATGGAACACACCATGTGCCGGTCTTTATGCTGAGAACTTACCATACATGCCCAATCAGTAGATGTTTTACCTGGTGACCTGGGGGAGGGGAGGGGACGCCTCAAATTCCCACTTCACAGATAAGGAAACTGAGGTACCTGCCCAGAGTCACCAGGTAGGAAGGGTGGGGAGCTGGCAATTGCCACCAGGATACTGGCTCGCGGTTTTACGTGGAGGACGGAAGGGTGGGGGCTGGGGCCGTTGGTTTTGAGCGCAGGGCCCCCAAGGGGTGAAGCTTGCCCCCGCGGGAAGGAACTGCGCGACCCCTCTGAAGTCCGCGGAAAGTGGGCGGGTTGCCCGAGTCCAAGATGGCCGTCGCTGCGTCGAGTGCGCAAGCGTGCTCTCTCGTGGGCGGGGCCTCCGGGGCGCACCTCCCACTTCCTCCCCGCGAGAGGCTGGCCGAGAAGCGGACGGGCGGTGGCAGCAGCCGTGGCTTCTGCCCTTGTGAGAAAGGCGTTGGACCGCTAACCCGAAAGGCATGGGGAACCCCCAAAAGGTTTTGGCCTGTGTCTAGCACGGCCCCTTCCACTTCACTTCTATTCTGCCAGGATGAAGTTTCCAAAACAGAAATCTATGTACATTCGGCAGTTGTGAGAAGTTAGGAGGGACGGAGTAAAGCAGAGGCTGTGGGGGTGCAGGGAGCAGATGGATTCTGCAGGTATTAAGGAAGTTAAATGAAAGTCTTCTCAGAATTTGTGGTTCTTCTGATATTGCAGCTGCGTCTCCTCCAAAGAGGTCTAGAGTCCTCAGTCTGTGATGCCACTGAGCTGGAGCAGTGCAGCCATGGGAAGGAGCGTGTTCAGGTGTCATGCTCAGTTGTGCAGGGTCAGTACAAATATCTGCCCTGCCTTGTACCTAGCCCCTCCCCACCCCTACCTCGCAGTTTACCTTCATGTGTTTGCTGTTTTACCTCCTCAAAAGAAAGTTTATTTTAGATCACTGTCCATTCAAATGAGAAAATCCTTCCTTTGCCCAAACCATTCAGTAAGTTGTTTGAATAAGTTTTTATGACCTAACCATCTGAATAGCATTAAAATAAAATTATTTCATTAGTTAATTAAGATAAATAAAGCCACTGTCTCCTCCTCCTACACACTGCAGATATAAATGCCCAAACCAAAGAAAAATCCAGATTTAATTCTGTCTAAACAGAACAGATGTATGTGTGTGAGAAAGAGACAGAGAGAGAGAGAATGGAGTTACCAAAGATTGCTGGAGGTATCTAAATGTCAAGCACCAGGAAATCAGCAAAACCCAGTTTATGGAAAGTGGTCATCGGTTGCTGGACATGTTAAAAAGGTGAACACCAAATTACTGGGATATAAAAGATGTGGGGAGAGAAGGGATTCAGCCCACCAGACAGTAAGAAAAGCAGTGATCTGGCCTACTGAGCATGTTCCTGGAAGCAGATCGATGGAAAATTGATCCAGTAGAGGAGCAGCCTCACATGACGAAGATCAGGTGATGGACTAATGTGGGCAGAAACTGGACTTTTCTGAGAAAAGTCAATAGCTAGAGAAACGAAAGCCACAGAACCTCCCTCCACCTGAAGTATGGGATTTGGCAATGGATCCAGGCAGGCACTAAATGGATGCCTGTGAGGATGTGAGTGTGCTTGTGTACGTGGGGGTGGGGATAACATTTGAGTGGGCATCTGTTGTTGAAATCAACATGGAAATGAATATACCTCTCAGCTCCATTTATCTCAACTATTACTTTGCAATCTTGGAATCATTCCTGGTGCCCAACACCTCAAATTTTTCCAACTTTGGCTAAGAACACAGTTCTTCAAAGTTGTCTGCTGCATCGCATCTCGCAGTGAACCTACTTTGCAAAGTGCATGGCACACATTTTTGTGATGATTGGCTGCAGAAAAGCTGGGCTCACCAGTCTTCTCGTGTTTTGACCCGACCCTTCTCTAATCTAATCTCTGACCCTACTGAGAGCAACTTCTCCAGTTCATTTCCAGCAGATGGTTAGGCTTTTTCAGGAATGAGAACATTTTCTTGTGTAATTCTCAGGAGGACCACACCAGGGTGAATTTGTCCAGCATTTCTGAATTGTGGATGTTATGAATCAGAGTGCAAGGGAGGCATTGGGCTGGGCTTAGGGATGTGGGTTTCCATGTCTGCTGAAAAAGAATGAGATTTCCAGGAACCTGAATAACACTGCTGTATGTGAGAAGGGCTGAGTGCAGGCTGAAAGCCAAATGCTATTCTGGTAGAGGAATGGGGGGAATCTCCCCGGTTGTGTTGTGTAGTATAAGGGACAAGATTGTTCTCACATGACCTTGGGTGGCCTGAACAATGGGCGGCTAGGAATAGTGCCCCCTTCCTTTTCCTGGTGAGGGGGACACACCCAAACTCAGCTTACCATGGGACTGGGGACTATTCCCAGTATTCTGTGCCCTAATCCTTGGCCAGCTGGGGATACAGTAATCTCCACAGGCCTGAGAAGTCCAGTTACTGGCAGCCTCAGACAATTCCTATAATGGGCTGGCACCCCAAATCCAGACTGCATGGTGCCAAGCAGCCAGGTATTCCTTCATTGAGAAGGCTGCTTTCTCATGCCAGCTCCATACAAAGGCAGGGTGAGGGATCCAGCTGGAATGCACACTGTAAAGCAGGCCCGGCTACCACTGGCCTGGCTTGTCTCCGTGGGATGAGACGAAGGTGGTTGGGGGCCCACAGCTGCTTCTTATTGACCTCATTCTTTTCTCTTTTCCAATAAAGCTGAGTGTCCTACAATTTAAGTCAATTCTGACACTTATCTAGGAGTCAGCACCACATCCCACAAGTTAAGGGCTTAGTCCCTGAAGACTACCCTGGCTCCCTCACCCCTGACCTCAGATGCCAATTGCTGGACAACTCGGCTTTCCTCCATGTGTCATTCACATCCCTCCAGCAGGTGAAGCTGGGCATGTTTTGGGCATGTTCTCATGGCGATCACAGAGAAGCAAGAGAAGTAGCAGAAACATATACTTTTTCTAACCTCTGCTTATATCAAGTCAGCTAACATTATTGTAATGGCCAAAGCCAGTCACATGGTTAAACTCAGACTCTTCAAGAGGGTGAGGAAATAGACTCTGCTCCTGTTATGAAAGAAATTGCAAGTTCACAGGACAAAGGGTGTAGACATAGGGAAGGGTGAAGAATTGGAGCTATCAAAGCAATCAATCTACCAATCTGTCCTCTAACCACAATTATTTCTGTTCTCCCTCCAGGCAAAACATGCTCATCCCCATTTTAGGACCCCCAAAAGATTCATCCAATCCTGACATTAGGCTCAAAGTCCAGGATCTTGTAACCTACATTAGGTCTGACTGTGGCTTTCGAATGAAATACCTATGATTTAAAAAAGGTAAGTTATTTACCCAACACACCCCAAAATACAATGGTGAGCCAGAGACAGAATAACCACAATAGACACTCACCTGAGAAAGAATTATGAAGAATAGTAGACCTATGGCAGTCACTGTCCAGAACACTTCTGAAATCAGCTGGGCAAGTCCAGCCAGGTTCCCCTACTCTGCGGATGGGGAATACTCCCTGATTAGACCTGGTTCTGCTCCCACAGAGTTGCTCCCCAATCAGCTTCTCAACCCACTATTCTCCATGGCTTTTGGCTCACCCTAGTCTGAGGCATCTTTCCTTTCTCATCACGTTCTTTGGCTTCATCTGAAGAAACAACCCGTTAATGGTAGCTGAAAATTTTTCTCAGCTTGCTTTCTCCTGATGGAAAGTAGGCAGCCCAGAGGCCTCTGTACTGTCCACAAAAGAATCAGTAAGTCAATATAAGCAAGAAATGGAAAATTTTATTTGAGCCAAATTTGAGGATCATAACCCAGGAAGAGCATCTTAGAAAGCTCTGAGAACTGTTCCACCCATTAGAAATCAAGACATGGTTATCTAAGTTTTTTGAGATAGGAGGCTGTACATCAAATGATGTATTATTGACAGTTTACATAATCCAGATCTAAATATCATCCTGGTGGTCATGTGACCCCTTACAAGATCAAGAAGGAATATTATCTTCTAAGTGTTGTGGGCCACAACAGGGTGACCTGGTTGGTGAGATGGTAATGCATGGGTTGGTAAAAGAATTTACCAGATAAAGTATGAGAATAGAAAAGCTGTTTATTAGGGGTATGCTGCTATAGACAAGAGCGGGCCACACAGATGAG